TGCATCAAAGAGTAGGTCCTTAGCAGAAGGATAGTGAACAGAATCAAGTTGAAAACATTGAGGGTGTTTCTGCCGCCAAAATCTCACGTATCACTACATTGTTTTGTAATCATTTATTTATTACCATTGTGTCTAGACAGTACCTGCTCACTGAGTTTTTCACTTCAATACCTAGAATAATATATATGTTTACTTGGAATTTCGACTCTTGCTTTTTTGCTGCCAGTAATCTAAAATGTAAAGGGATGTTTTAGTTTGTATTATACAAATGATTGTAAATAAGATCAAATTGTGTAATCCTTCCCATAAAGTGAACTAAATTAAAGTGGGGATAAAATACATTTGCTTACAGAATCGGAGGACCTGTGCCTCAATAATAAAGCCATATGTGATCAGTTTATTGCATAGACCGGCACATACATTTCAAATTCAAGCCTCTCTTTAATCAGTACACATGTATATACCTGTATGAGAAAAATTCAAAGCAGTGTACAACACATTTTTTAAGAACATTAGTCAGGATGTGAGTGGAGAGAAAGTGAACAGCTCTCAGTAAATGTTAAAGGTCAGAGAAGGTGATGTGTGTGACGTAACTCTTGAAATACATGGTACATTTTGTTCTCTATAATTAAAGGTGTCATATTCTGCTCATTGAGGCGCCGTTTACACGAGGAGAAAACTGCTTGTATCTGCATAGTTTCGCGTGCGTATAGCCCTATTATTTACACGAGGCCGATAGAAACTAACCCCACAAACAATAACGGGTCCCAAGGTGGATAGATTTGCAAACGAAACGCTCTGGGGGGTCAACCGAGTCCGTGTAATCACCTCGATATGAATATTTCCTGAAAAAATAGCGATAGCCCCACCTCTCCTGCTCACTGCTGTAGCAACTAATAATAACTGTGTTAATTAAACGCACAAGGGGTTCTTGAATGAAATAATATTATAAAAGGCAAACCAGAATTGTTAACGCCCAATATACTCCTTAAACAAAATAAACAGAGTCAGATTTCATGCATTGATCCATTATATTGACAAAGGAGGATCTCACCCGGTGTTTGTAGAGAATATCTCTCTCTTTCTGAGCCGTCCTCTCCACGGAGACGTGCTTCTTGGCGGGATGCAATATCCACAGATTCGGTTTCTTTCAGTTTCTTTCAGTTTCAGTTTCAGTTTCGGGGCTTAAACAGAAGGGTAGCCATGGCAACATTGCAGCGGGGCTGCTCGGTTGCTCTTCTTCGCGGCTTTTGGTGTATTTTGGCGGAAGTTACAGCGCCACTTACAGTCCCAGCATATGTGCTACAGCGTTTCCAGCGGCCTCGTTTGAACAGACACGTTAAATGAAACAAATGCATGTGAATGGAAGACTTTTTTGAATACGCATACTGTGCATAAACGCAAACGGTCCCGTGTGAGCGGGGCCTCAGCCTCTGCATTAGATGACACCTACACACACATATACATGGAGGGAAGGATGGAGGAATGTGTGTTTCGTAAATATAGGTTTGGTAAGTTTATGCAGTTAAATGTGTGGTGGGCGTACTGATGTAATGTGCAGAGGGATGATTGGCTATAGATTGACGACAAGGACGCAGAAGTGCTCTGATTGGGTATTGAATGGAAGGACAGAGGAGAGAAAGAAGAGAAAGGATCAGATGCAGAGGATGGAGGAATGATGTTGGCACATATGATTGCCCATTCACTGTCCAAGCAAGGATGAAGGGCAGGCAAATAAGAAACACAAAGTATGATTACTCATATCTATCATATACAAATGTCCCCCGATTATTGATGCTAAAACACCACAAATGCGTAGTTTTAGAAGTATATGCACAGAATGTACCTAAATGTAAACTCTGAAATTGGTGTCATAGACAGAATTATAATTACTCGGACTAACACCATACGTACATTTAAAAGCAATACTTTCTTCACAGGGAAACCAATTTCCACGTGACTTGGACTCGAGTCACCAATTTGATGACTTTGGACTCGACTTGACAAAATCACAAAACACTTGCGACCTATATAACACACTACAGGAAAGGGAAACCCCCCCGAAAAAATATAATAGGGCCCCTTTAAGTATTATTTGTTCTTGTTCTGCTATGATTTGCTCAAGACAACGCAACAGTTTCAAAACTTTAATATGCAATTGTACATGTTATGACACATTGTGTATATAAACTTCTGGTCCCACTCTATCATATTGTAGATTGAGCTTTCAGTCCAGAAAGACATTTGAATGTATAAAAAGACACTAAAATCAGTTCAAGCATCTCTAGGACAAATGTAGAAACACACACTTGTCACATGATCTTATACAAACACACACACACACACCTTGGTGACAGAGTTAAAAATGGTTTAACAGAACACAGGTCAGTGAAGCTCAAGTGAGAAAGGGTAGCAGCAGAGCAGGACAGAGAGATGGAGAGATGTAGAGAGTTATGAAAGTAGATTACTGACTAAAAGACAGAAGAGAAGAGGGAGGGAGGGAGGGAGGGGAAATCAAACGGAGAGACGCAAGGAGCAGAAGAGCCTGACAAATGGACAGTGAGAGAGCGAGGGTGTTGTGATGGACATTAATACTCAAGGAAAGGAGAGAAAGAAGAAAACAGGAACATGATGCCAAGAGAGGGCAAATGGAGAAGAACAAAACAAACATGGTCATGGGCACAGATGGAAGGACAGCTGAAGGACAGACATGGGAAAAACAAGGATAAAAAACACTGTCGAGAGATGAATGTCAATAGAAGTCAGATGGAAAGAGACTATAGCAGCGGTGATGATGATAGAGGGAAGACTTTTAGCTGAGAGAAAGACAGTAGGACTGGATCAGGTCAGGTAGGTTGAGAGTTGATATGCTTCGGTGCACAGAAGGATATACAGGAAGGAGCACACTCCCCATTATAAAAGAAATGACAGGTCCTACGTCTACAGGACGTCTGGTAAAACCAGTGACTCATATTGGGACGGTCTGCCGTTATTTACAGAGCACTGTGTACACAAACAACACGCATATCACTTTCACACCGGCACTTCACTTCATTTGGTCTGATGCCATATCATGCAAATGACATGGCTCTGGGTCTTCCACACTGAATATTACATTTCCTAGATGGTGCATCCTACTGAGTCTGATGGTTCCCTGATTTAACTCTAGTAGCACTATGATGTTGGCAAGGAAAGTAGACCTTTTTCAGTAACATTTACCTGCCAAATTCTCTGAAATATATGGCTCGTGTATTTAATTACTCACAAGCAACATAAACAATATTAATTAACATTGTGATTGATGACTAGTGGCCTAAAAGGGGACTGTTGCACCCTGAGTGAATTATATCAAGTTATATCGAGTGATAGCAATTACATTTGCTATAGATTTTTCAAGAGGATGATACCTAATGACTTTGTTGTCCCTCTGATTTCCTCTAGCTACTGTCAAGTCAAACTTGTATTATCATGTGAATTGTATCACCATCTACTGGGATTACGTGTTATCTGTCCAGTAGTCCTACTGACCTTGATGATACTTGACCTTTCATATAGCGCCACCAAATGCGAAACTAATGATTTTCTCTATCAGGGAAAGAGAAAGAGGGCAAGAAAATAAAAGGAGAAAACTGAGTGATTCAAAAATGTGAAAAAAGATGGAGAAGTTTTTGGTACTCTTTAATGGGCATATTAAGGCCTGCATTTTTGACATTTGGAAAAATAAATCAATCCTTTTTTAAAGCTTGGAGTTATGATTTTGTAACATCCTGTAAAATAACATTGTATGCATCATTGTGAAATCACTCCCTGTCTGTCATCTTTGTTGTACAGCTTAATGAACTTCTGTTAAGGTTAGGGTTCAAACCAATCCCTTAACCCTAAGCACCAACCAAAATAGTGTGCATGCATCCATCTAGTGTCTGACATTGCAACATGTTCCTGTTGAGTACAGTTTAAGTGTGTGGCTGTAGCTGTCTCAGCACATGAAGCCACCACGTGTTGAGAATAGGCGTACAAAGGTCAGGGCTCCACGCATATTACTGTGAGCATGAAGTATCATGTAGAAGGTAACTGCAAAGGGGAAAAGGGTGTTTGGATAAACTGCTGGATTCAGTCGGAATATATTGAGATAAGAGGACATAATGCATTTCATTTCCACTGCATAGTATGGCAATAGTCCACTTTCCATCAGCAGAAGTTGTAGATAGTACCTTGTTGTGGAGAAGAAAATAATGACCCAAATGTATTTTATAAATTAAACAATATCAATATAATCAATAATTTCATATGCAATAACAAGATAGAATATTATAATTGTTTGGAGTTCAATGTTCAATTCCACTAAATATTGTCCCCGTCCATACAGTACCAAGTCAAGGCAGATTGGCTGGAGATTTTTGCCCACAATGCAATTTGATGACATTCAAAAGGTATAACTCAGGCTTTTCCTTTAACTACACTAGCTAGTGTGTCTGCCTCATAACTGACCAAGGGTTTGTCATGACATGGATTTTAAAGGATGCTTTTGTGAAGCCTTTTCACCGAACAATAAAAGAGCAGCGGGAGCTCAAAAGGCTCTTATTCATTTCTCTCTCTCCTCCTAATCTGATTCTCTTGTTCTTTTCTGTCATCTTCTGTAATCTCCTTCTGTAATCGTTGTTACCTCAAGCGTCCTCTCTTTTCATGGTAACCATCCCCCCTGAAGTCCATTGTTAGGTAGGCTCCTCTTCTATGTAATACTTATAATAAAGACGTAAATATATACTAGATCACCCTCAAGTAACATAGGGTATTAATCATATTGTAGTGCACTTGGAAATGTATTGTCTATTTTCCAAGTGGCACACTGTTTTAAAATGCATTGAACAACTCTGTGTTTGTTTACAGTTATACTAATGTCATTTTGAGTGGCAGCAACTAGAGTTAAGGACAAACGCTGCTCCACCTCAGGCCTCTAAGATTACTAACCTCCTGCTTCTTTCCTCTTGTGTTTTCTCCAGGCGGATGCTAAGATGGTGTGTGACGTGGTCACTCGTATGGAGGACACAGAGCCTTACTCCGCCGAGCTGCTCGGCGCCATGATGCGCCTGTGGTCCGACTCAGGCAACCAGGAGTGTTTCAGCCGCGCCCGCGAGTACCAGCTCAACGACTCAGCGCAGTAGTACGTATTCTACAGAGTTTAACATTATAATTTGTGTGGTTATTGAATCCTGCAGGGATGAAGTGTAGGCTAATCTTGAATTTAGCATTGGCTGGTTCCTACGAGAAAAAGCCAATGGAATATCTACATTGGATTGTAGCTGAAAACAAGCTCTGTCTTAACAAAGTAATGCATTTTTGAGATTTGACAAGCTTAAATGCAATTGCCAGGAGTTAAAATGTCCTTGTGTTTGACTTGATAATGTTGAATGTCCCAGACAACCTCTGTTATCATTAAGCTACTTGTTAGCAACATCTTTGTTAAGTTGCGTACATTTTTTTAATAGTGTCTCTTATGTTATAGAACCAAATGTAAAATATCTTAAGCGTGTTTAAAACATTTAAGAAGCATAGAAATCTCACCAAAAAAACCTCTGGACCTTGAGACAGGGGAACTGAAACTGCAGAATTGCTTACTCATTTCCAGGTTTCAGGAGTCATTCCTGCCGCATCCAACTGATCACAAGTGATATCATCCAGCCAGAGTATGCTTGAGTATGAATGGGAGATGTTACAAAGTGACACATTTGTGTTTTGTTTAACGTTCCAATAAGCACTATATCACTGACTCAGCACAGTAGCGAGAGAGTGTGTGTGTTCCACCTGTTCAGCTGAGACGTGTCAGGATCAATACATCAGTCATTACCGACCTCCCCCCCGCCTAATTCAATACACCCACCAACCATAAAAGATGAAAAAGAAACACATGTTCCCTAACACATACACTCACACACTCAACTATTTATTTATAATCTCCTAGATGCGATCATACACTGGCTATTACGACACATAGTCAATCACCATTACAAGTACACGGCCTGATTTATGCGGAGTGCCTGAGCGTGGGTGGAGAGCGAGAGAGAGACAGCTGGAGAAAAACAGTGAAGGAGAGGGTGGGGTGGGGGGGTGGGGAGGACATTTTACTCAAGTGCCATGTTTGTGCGTGTAGCCCTTGTGTAATTGTCCGCCATACATCTAATGAAATTACACAGTGACAAAGATAAATGGAAGGAGAGTGACAGATGGAGTTGTATATCTTTGTTGCTGTGTGCGGCACATACACTACAGATACTGTAAATCACTCTTATAGGCAACTGCAGATGTAGTGAATGTATGTGTTAGTTTATTTAGTGACCACTTAATATGAATTCATATTCATCCAGGAAAATCGTTCCTGCGTTTGAATTTCTACTTTAGTACTGGTTTCAGTTCACTGGCAGTGTTTTTATTTCTCAAGAAGCATTTAGAGGCAGCAGACAGTTAAAGAAAAACTCAAGCAAGAAAAGAGCCATCAAATGCACTACTTGGTTGGAAATCTACCAGTGAAAACTAAGTGTCTAGAAGCAAATCTCGTGCAGACACAGATGTTACTTAAAGTGGACCTATCATGCTATATTTGAATAATATAGTGTAGGACCATACCTACATAAGGCATATTTATACTTTTTTTTTTTCAAAATACCAAACAGATCATGCATTTTAGCCATGCCTCATTTTGCTCAATTTGACAATTTCTAGCTCTGGGCAGATTCTGTGAGAACAGCACCATCTACTGGCCTGGCATATGTACTACGGCGTCTCCAGCGCTTTCGAACGGCAATGGCCGTGGCTGTCTCCTCCTGATTGGTGGAGTTGGCCCAATAGCCGTAGCGCCACTGTCCTGACGTCAGTACAGTGTTCAAATCTGGATCAGTTTTTATCAGATCCGTTGCAGCCCCTTTTTTAGAGATTTGGGTATGGAGGAAAATAGAGAGGGTTGTGTTTTCTGACACTTGGTGAGTTCCCTGGAACACCGGGGACACATATTCATGTATAAAAGACGTACAAAAGTGCATTTTGCATGATAGGTCCCCTTTAAGACAGAGCTGCAGAGAAGTTGAGATAAGGCGGAAAGAGAAAGGGCAGGAAGGATATAGAGGGATACGTTGAGAGAAATTAAGCCGGGGGAGTCCAAGTCGAGGCTTAAGCAAGGATAAAACAGATCAGAATAATGAAAGAATACAGACTGAGACAATAGAGACCAAAAGGTCAGGAAAAAGAGTATTCCATGGAGTCAAAGGTGATGATAAAGCAAGACAGAATGGACAGAAGAAAATACAGAGTTACAACACATAATAGCAGACAACCTGGAAGTGCAAACATATTCCTGTCAACAATTACATTTGGTCAATTAACTCAAACAACATCCTCTCTGTGTGTGAATGAAAGCCTCTGTGTGCTAAATGTCACATTAAAGATGAATGCACACTTCCTGTTATGTTGGAACTTGTGGTGCAGAACAGGACAAGCAGCCAATGAACAGATGGGACTGGTATCACATGATCACACCATGAGATATTTTGAGTTCTGCTTAAGAAACCTCTCGTTTTTTGTCGTCAGGTGTAACAGTTAGTTCAAAGATGAGGTATTTAGTGAGGGTTTTGGGGGGGGGAGAGAGTGTAAACACACATGCACTGTGTGTTAGTATTATGGCGCATTTCCACTACACGGTCGGCCTCGGCCACAGAAAGCTCTTTTATGAAAGGAGCATGTACTGCCAGCAGCCATCTCTCTCTCTTCAATGCCCTGCATGTCGTGACCTATTTACCGCAAAACACATCCACTGTTTATGATTTACGTCTGCTGCCTTTTTTGACAATGCTACGTTGCCACTTGAAATGGAAAGTTGGTTTATAACAGTGAGAGACCGCACTATGAAACAGATGGAGTGCACCAAGCCCACTAAAAGCAAAGCAGTCTTAGTATTCTTGTTTAGATCTAATTGAAGGTAAATGTCACACAAAAGGGCATCATTCTTCTTTCTTTAATACGGATATTGATTCTGCGTCTAGCTTTGTATTTGATAGGACCATCATTGAACTTCTTATTGGATAATAATGTAAAGCTACTTATGCCGTATTGATTTTAATAAGTAAACATATTGCATCCTGCTGGGTGCTGCTATTTGTCGGTTGCTGGCTTTAGAAAGTTATATCTTCTGTTGACACCATAGGTAACCCATTGTTTAAATGTTGTTCCACAAAAGGCTTAAATACAAAATAAAAGTTGCAATCTGCTCAGTGTTAAAGAGGCTCTATTATGCTTTTTGGGGTTTTCCCCATTCCTGTAGTGTGTTATATATGTTTTAAATAAATAGCTAAAGTCCCAAACTTCCCTCCAGAGGGACCACACACTCCCCCCCCGGGCCTGAAGCTCCTTGATTGTAGTCCTTTGTATACCTCCCTTACATCACTATTTAACACTTGTGCTTCTATTGGCTAGCGCTCCAACACATTGTACGGCTAAAGGCCCTGACACCCCAAGCCGATTTCGGCCGTCGATAGATGTCAGGCCGTCGATAAGCGTCCTGTCGCCCTACTCAGATTGGTGTGTCCTGCACCGTCGTGTCTTTTCGGCCGTGCAATTGACAGTTACTTAGGCACATTTGTATTTGTTCTTAACGCTGTGTGATTAAAAGAATAAACACAAATAGCAGGATAGGCACACATATTTGCTATATCTTGCCCCACTGGAAAGGAACTGCACCGATACTGTTACAAATATTGGCATAGTTCATCCCTGTGCTGCTTGGCTCGAGCTGTAGCTATTTGTTGTTTGTATATATCACGCAATCTGTCTTCCGGTTGCCTCTTTTGAATGACGAATACACACTACCGCCGCCTGCTGGTAAGGAGAGTTATTGCGACTCGCGCAGTGCCTACGTGCTACTTGGTCGTCGGCTGAAGTCTTCGCGGTGTGTTCCAGTGCGACTTTTTGGCCAAGACGCAGGAGACGTGAGGCAACACAACAGTCGGGTCCGTCGGGACGTGTTATTTGGTGTCAGTTTGGTGTGTCAGGGCCTTAAGGGGTGGGACATCTCTAAGCGGTTGACCAATCACAACAGAGCCAGCAGTTAACCAATCAGAGCAGACTGGGTTCTGGTTTCAGACAGAGGGTGAAAAGACAGGCAGTATGAGAAAATGAAGACCTTTTTGAACATTAAAGCAGGGAAACATGTCACAGTAGAGACACAGAATACAAATATGAACTTGAAAATTAGCACAATAGGGCCCCTTTAACGTAAGAAGTGCGTCCTTGTTTCCTGGTTTATCTTCTTCTTCTCTGGGATAAATAAAGAAATTGTTCCTATTATTTATTCCCAGCCCTTCAATGTTGTGGCCAGGTTGTTTCGTGTTGCATCATGTTGCTGTGGCTTATACAGTATAGAGGTGATGAGTGCTGGCTGTATATATGTGTCAGCACACACAGTGGTGGAGACCATCTTAATACTGGTTACTTAGCAACAGCTATTAAGCAAGACATTGGAACTGCCTCCCTTGGACTTATAATGTAAAAAACATACTTGACATGTCACCTACAACTTCTTAATAATACAGCTTGGAAAGCTTCAGTATTATAATTTACCTCACTTTTTTGATGGGATTGATTTATGTAGGAAACATTATACATCAAGTAAGACTGTGCTATAATAACATGGCACCTTCTCACCTGCATACACTTGTCTGCATCTCTCTCTGTATTAGTTTACCCCAAAACAACGTATCAAGCCACTGTTTTATCAACAGTAGTGTCATAGTTGTTCATTTCTGGAATATGTGTGTGTGTGTGTGGGTGTGTGTGTGTGTGTGTGTGTGTGGTGTGTGTGTGTGTGTGTGTGTGTGTGTGTGTGTGTGTGGTGTGTGTGTGTGGTGTGTGTGTGTGTGGTGTGTGTGTGTGTGGTGTGTGGTGTGTGTGTGTGTGTGTGTGTGTGTGTGTGTGTGTGTGTGTGTGTGTTGTGTGTGTGTGTGTGTGTGTGTGTGTGTGTGTGTGTGTGTGTGTGTGTGTGTGTGTGTGTGTGTGTGTGTGTGTGTGTGTGTGTGTGTGTGTGTGTGTGTGTGTGTGTGTGTGTGTGTGTGTGTGTGTGTGTGTGTGTGTGGTGTGGTGTTGTGTGTGTGTGTGTGTGTGTGTGTGTGTGTGTGTGTGTGTGTGTGTGTGTGTGTGTTGTGTGTTGTGTGTGTGTGTGTTGTGTGTGTGTGTGTGTGTGTGTGTGTGTGTGTGTGTGTGTGTGTGTGTGTGTGTGTGTGTGTGTGTGCGTGCGTGCGTGCGTGCGTGCGTGTCATACTCTCCAGTTGCCTCTATTTCAGTGATCATCTATAATACTTACATCACCTGCAAATTAGAGGAGCACACACTGGGGTCCCGTGTTAATCAATGTGGCGCTCCATGAAGAGTTATATCAGGATGAGGGAAGAGACTAATGCAGCAGTGGTCTACATACTGTACGCCATCTAAAACTACATAAGCACACAAAAGTCATTATCCTGCCCAGGCTTGTTTAATGTAATGTAATGTACATTACTGTGGGTGTAGGACCTCCAGGGGATAGCAGCTCTATATGTGGAATATTGTTTGCATGTGTGATAATGTAAGTGCATATCCAAAACATTATTCCAAAAGGTGACTGCTTCTGTTCAAAGAGGTGTCAACCTCCAGTGGAAGTAAAGGTCATCAAAGTAACATGTACAATAATGGCAACCCGAAGTGGCCTTTCTTACTCTCAAGTCTAATGTTTAAGTGCAGCCTGATAGTTTTCCAACATAAAGCCAAGAGTGAATGACGTCTGGCATACATCTTGAGAGGGTATTGAATATGTAATGTAACATTGTATGGCTTCAACTAATGATTATTATCACTTCATTCCCAATAATTGGTGTAATGTGTGAGTTTTATTTTACTAAAAATACATACAAATATTGATTCTGCTTGGGTTCTTCTTCCTCTTATTCTTCTTCTAAATATTGTTAGCCGCAGCAATAGAAGCGTTATTATCCATCTTTGTATCTTATTAGATTATATGAGATGGGTTTTTTTTGCTTAAAAACAGCACCAAATCATCATGTTTTATTGACAGTTACATCATTATTAAAGCAGAGCCAGTCAGCTGATGCTTTAGTGTAGTCTACAGCTGTGTATAGGTCATGCTGCATGTTGTTATATATTTTCCATTAAAAAAATAAACCCATGTCTAGCCGATTGCTTTGCCTTATTGTGGCCTGGTAAAAAAATACACACAAAAAACCCCACTGCTTTCACCCTCTTATTTTCTCTTTGTCTCCTCCCTTATAGCTTTCCTATCTACTGTCACTCCCCACCCCCCACTCTAACACATAATCCTTGCTGTCTAATCAATAGTTCTTATCATTGAAGCTGTACTTGTGTGTGCCAACCACTTCTTGTTACCGTCAGCCCAATATCTCCCTCCCTCTCTAGCCGTCATCTTCTTCTACCATTCTTTTCAAAAGTAACACAGCATTCATTTCAAAGGCCTGATACACTCGCAATAATCGTTCAACAAAAACATCCACTACACTCGTTTAAAATGAAGATCTATACCAAACAAGGATTTTTCATTAAGTCTGTAGGATACCGTTTGTAGGCCGGTACTTCACCTAAAGCACCACAATACTTTCAATAGTCCATATTGCAATTTTGATAACATTAGGACAGTGCAGCCCGACCAAGAATGTCTGATTGGTTGGGAACATACTCTGTATTGCTCAGTTAATGCCGAACTCTACACTTGTTTTCAGGATTGAACTTGAATCTCAGAAGGGAATATTTAAGGAATAATAACCTCTGAGTTGGGAACCACACAGCAAAGAACAAAACAAACCAGGCTGTACAAGTGAATACGAAATAAAGTCACAGCTCTTTCTTCACTCACTCCCTTATTCTTTACTTGATAGTAGGGTATCATTGCTCAGCCGGGGAGCTGCCCTGCAAAGGCTGTGAGATGAATCTCTGATTTGGGCCATTCATTTGATTTATACTTCTACATTAAAAAATCAAAGTCCACTTCCATGGATATTCTATTACATAAGTGAATAGATCTCAGCAAACCATTTCCCCTTCTCACTTCTTACCCAGTGGCTACTCAACATGGTAGATTTTCTTCCAAATGTAGTTCATCTGCTGACTAGGGCTAATAGTGTTTATTATTATCAAGGTGTAGCAACCATGGAGACGAGAATGTAGGGATATTTACATTGGCAGTATAGAATATTTATACAACTGTTGTGACAGTATTGATCTGTAGCCGACCTGTGCCCCTTCATAGAGGGAATGTATAAAGGAAATACAATTATCCCTACTGCAGTGAGTAGTCACTGTTACTTAGTTTTGACAGCAATCCAATTGGTGGTTCTCACATTCTGTTTGTTTTGTATTGTTTGAAAGGGCCCTATTATGCCTTTTGGGGTTTCCCTTTTCTTGTAGTGTCTCATAAAGGTCGTGAATAGTCTGCAAGGGCTACAATCTCAAAGGCTACAATCCCAGAGAGAGTTTCACTCCCACACACTCCCACCCTGCCTGAGACATAATATAATAACATCACTATGTAACGAGCTTCTATTGGCTAGCGCTCCAACACATTTTACGTGATAGGCTAAGGGGCGGGACCTCTCTAAGGGGTTGATCACAACAGAGCCGGCCAGCTAACCAATCAGAGAGGACTCTGGTTTCAGGCAGAGGGTGGAAAGAGGTGCTGCAGCACAGGCAGTATGAGAAAAATACAGACCTTTTTGAACATTGAAGCATGTAAACATATCACAGTAGAGGCACCAACCATCTGAGCCACAACATTTGACTGTAACACAAGGTGGATCACAAACAAATGCATCCATTTTAGGTGCAAACACTTCTACTCTTGTCAGTGTGATTAGCAAAACGCCCTTAATTGCTGAGGATTGAAGGAAGTGCAGTTTTGAGTGCAAGCTCTGGAGATTTACGGGACATACTCATTAGTAGTGCGTTATGTTCAAACTGTGCAGTGTATTTGGAAGGTGCCGTTATTAACTGTTACAACAAATGACATGCTGGGAACACTTCTCTCTTGGTCGCTTGCTACAATGGTACTACTGCATGCTACAGTACATTCAAGAGCAGATAGAGCGACAAAGGACATATTTAATATTCATTTTTCTCAACAACCGCTCATCCGATTGACAATACCCACGGAAGTGTTGTGTCAAGTGTGAAGTTGTTTGAGTGGATGAGTGGTTCACGAATAATTGTTAGCATGCTTGCAAGCAGCAACTACAGAAGACCAAGCCAACAAGCTATTTAAAAAAAGATGTCTTGTAATATTACCAGACAAAAACCCTATCTTGTTTGGCATTGGTTGGGGTTTCTGGAGTGTCAACTTTCCAAAATCAAATCAAACAGCTGGTGGCTTACTGTTAGTTAATGATGTACTTCAAGAAAATGCTAAAATGACACAGTCCTCCAAACTCTTTAATTGCTGAATATCTCTCTCACCGGAGCCTCATGTTCACCCCTTCCGCATTTGGAGCAATCCAAAGTTTGACAGGCCTATCGCGTCTTGTTAGGGTAACTAAACAAGAAGTGAATTTCTGCCAATTAACAATCATGTCTGTCTTTGTGTGTGCAGCTACCTAGACAGCCTAGATCGGATTGGTGCACCAGACTACCAGCCCACAGAGCAGGATATCCTGAGGACCCGAGTGAAGACCACAGGCATCGTCGAGACACACTTTACCTTCAAAAACCTCCACTTCAGGTCAGTTTTAACCCAGGGCATTTATCTTACTGTCATCAGTACTGACTTTACTTTCTCATCCAGGCTACAGTAGGAACTCCAGTGTGTAATTAATAAGAGGAAATGCTTTAAACAAGTGCCTATATTTATGTCTCATTTTAATGAGATCTGATTCAATTAGAGCACAGAGCTGTGGGAATGGTGACCGAGTGGAGGGGTGTTGTGATGATGGGGGGGAGAAAAAAAAGAGAGAAAAGAATGGCGAGGCTTTTTCTAACCTCTAATTTAACTACCATATGTCTGCCCCTCTCGTGCTCCTGTGCACACACACACACACACACAGAAAAGTATCGACAGACTTACAAAGGGGAGAAGGTTAATAAACTGTAGACACCAATTATGTTTCAGGATGGATGTAACATCTGACTTCCACTGTTTCTGTCCCAACCTTTATCATGCACACTGTGTGTTCAAGTTGCGCACACTCAATTTAGACAAGCAGGGAAATATTGTTTCTCCTGGATGACATTACATTACATTACATGTTACTTGTTAGACGCTTTTATCCAAAGCGACTTACATACTCAATACTGTGGGCAATCCCCACAGGAGCCATTTGGGGTGAAGTGTCTTGCCCAGGGACACAACGACATGCTGACTGCAGTGGGGTTTGAACCTGTGCCCCCCTGATCCAAACACATACGCACAACCCACTGCGCCACACACCTCCCGTGACGCTGTTACTCTCGCTGTTGAGTAGGCCGTGTGCTGGGTGTGTTTTTGGTGAGAAGCCCAAATATTTCCAGCTCAATTGTTATTACTGGCAGTCAGGGAGTGTGTGGGAGACAGCAGTGTTCCTGTGCTGGGTGTAACCCTTCAACCTACCAACCATTATACCCATCACATGTGGAAATGGCTTCACTTCACTTTAGACTCCCTCCCCCCTGTTAGTGGCTTCTCTAGAGTTCTCTAAAAACCACAAAAATACAGCTTATACATGAGAGGTCATTCCAGGCTTGTGGAAAAACATGAATTGCTTGATGGAAAAGATTCATCAGGGTTCAGATACTGGTCATGAACTTTTCCTTGAGTGTGCTTCTTTTGTTGCTTGACAGTTTCAGCTCTACAGTATTCCTCCAGCGGTCATGGTTAGGGTGTACATGTGTATTTATTCACGTCTGTCTCCCCAATCAGGCTGTTTGATGTGGGAGGTCAGAGGTCGGAGAGGAAGAAGTGGATCCACTGTTTTGAGGACGTCACCGCTATTATTTTCTGCGTGGCGCTCAGCGGATACGACCAGGTGCTGCACGAGGACGAGACCACGGTAAGGACAGATGGTCATGTGTATATTCTCTCTTTCACTCTGTCCCTCTCTCCCTGTCCCACTGATACTCCTATTGTCACTTTGTGGTCCTTTTATAAACATTAGGAAGGACATTTACACGCTTGTTCTATTTATAGATTCAATGTGTAATCTGACATAACACCCACGCCCTGTGTGAAAGATTGAAACAGGGCGGCAGCTGCTAAATAAATGAATGCATAAAAAATGTAATATTTACATTTTAGTGTGCATTTCCCAGAATGTAATAGGAATGACCCATACATTTTTACTCTTATTTTGCATTTATTTAAATGTCTATATCATAATATTGATCCTCCGATATCCCAAACAAATGTGCACATAAATCAACAGAACACCGCTGAAGGCCATATTCAAAATGCGCATTGGAAACATGCAAATCATTCTCCCACACATTCCCAAAACAAGGCAAAGCAGATGACCTGTTTTTAATAATGGGAAGTTACGGTCTACATCTGTTATTTGGTTTTATAAGGTTGTGGGAGTGGTAACGCATAGTTACCCTCGATAAGATCATGTGCTCAACGACAGGCTGCCCCCTGCCATGGAAATACGTTGTTTGTAACCTAAAACAAATGAGCTGATTTGAATGCACGCTGCTCACTGCTATTTATATAACCTGAAGTGTATCCTCAGAGGATTCCAGCACAGGAAATGATGCTCAGGAGCTGCTCTATTTATGCAGATGTCATCAAGCCTCCCTGTGAGCTGGGAACACCAGGATAATGTGAGATGAAAAGGGGAAATATGTATTTGCAAACACACTCATAAACAGTCTCTAAATGAAGGCAATGTAAGGTCATGGTGATGTTTTAAGTACAGGTGCTATTGTGTTTGATATCAGAAAGATATTTCCGCTCTAAACAGCATTAACAGTAAAAATCATTCAAACCTAAGCATCAAAGGGATATTCAATATTTCCAGGGAAAATATGAAATAAAGATACACATTTTTCCTCTGACAATACCTCAATAGAGCAGGAAGGAGTTTTGAATCCAGCATTTTACCGACTTTTTTCTCACTTTTGTGTTTTGATTTCTGAAAATGAGGTCTTGGCTGACACAAGCCCAACAGATTTTAAAGTTTCTTTCTACGACTGCCTACAGTACGTCCGCCTTTAGCTTAGTGGAGGTGATGCACAGCCATTTGACCTTGATGTATTTCCTTTATAGCCTAGGTTTTCACTTCTGGTTCTTGCATTTAAGCTTCAAAAAGCCTCATCTTTGCCCCGACAGAGCCTGCGAACTAACTTTAAATAGATGAACACAAGGCAATTTGTGTCAAAATAGGTGTAACAAAAAGTAAATAACCAATCCCAATTAAAAAAACAAAACATGAGTCAAGGCCCTGCATTAGCATCCCACATGTGTTCATGTTCAGTCAACAGTAATAGCAGGTCTGTTTTTGTTTTATGAGATAGGGTTCTGGTCAACATTTAGTTTTTATTATTGAAGAGTAAACACTAGCGTGGGAGATATAATTACCAAGCAAATTACTAAATATTTGTTTGGCATGCGCACACATCATCTGTCAGACACTTTCATGGCATGTGATTCAGAAAGTACAGGCAATGTGCAGTGAAGATGTTCTACAGTCAGACAGGAAAGCTAAGAATACCCTTCCCCCATTATGATCAAGTAATACATATATCCCTTTTGGGTAGTTCATTGACATCATTATGAATTTAATTATAATGCAAGCTTTTCCCATAATACTGATCCAGTCTGGACAAACGTTAAGAGTATCTAAAGGTTGATTTCTCTCCGTTGTTAATATGTCAGCCCTTTTTTAATTATTCTTCAGAGTAATTGATTAGAGAGTCATTACTTTACATAACAACATTGCCTTCTTATGCATGTAGCACTGTTTGAGTAGATGATGGTCTTTTATATGAAAACATGTGACAGTTTTCCTGGTATAACTGATAGAGGTTATTCAATCTTCCAAAGTCCCTGTGACTACCAGCATGTGCAGTGTCTTCAGAGAAATAGAAAAGTCGTAGATGATGACATTTACATTTTATATTTTAGCATCAAGTGAAAAAGAGTAATTGCTCATATCCGGTACCTAACATATCAGGTGACTAACCCTAACTAGCTGCTGTTCTGTTGTTCACTCTTTACCGGTTTACACTGGTTTCAAGATTATAATGTCCAAAGTATGATCCTGAAAATGGTGATTCTTATATCCCAATTTTCACAACTTCCCAGCAGTATATCATTATAATTACTAATGATATAATGATTTAAATTAATTTGACATGGAACCTGATTAGCAGCATTAAATGAATGATTCATTTATTATGATTCACCAACATGTGTTAATTAACTTCTTAGCTTCTTAGGTAATGTACATCAATCTACATTACATAAGAAGCTAAGAAGTTAATTAACACATCAATCTACATTACATAAGAAGCTAAGAAAGTACCTAACAATGAATAAAGAACAAACTACTCAAATGTGTTTATTCTTTAAGGGTTTAAGCATAGTTTTTTGAAAGTAGTTTTAGCTGCATTTCATGTGCTAATTTAACAGTGTTTACATCCTATCCCAATATGACTTAAATGTAAACTTTATTTAAGGATTGCCCCTTGAGTCCAAGGTTGATGAGCCTCTTAGCTGCTGTAACTAACCTTGTTTGTTATCATTCTGATGTGTCCTATTGAAGAATTTAGTGCTTTTAAAGAGTTCTCAAGACCTATCGTTACCTTGTCATTTGCGGTATCTGTTTGATATGGTATGGTTTTGTCAGGTCAATGTGGTGACAGAACTGGTTGCTGAACTGATTCTGTCTGTTTGTGAATGTCTTTCATTTTAATGGGACAATGTAGAGTAAAAAGCACCTGACTGGCGTCATGCTACATGTTTTCTTTTACATCCACGTCTAAATGCTCTATAGAAATATGCACACACATGCAGTACAACACAAACTGCTGCTGCTTTGGGAATCCCTTCTCTCTAATGAAGAACTGCTTGCATTGTGTTTTCCTCTGCATCTCCTGGTCTAGTTTAAGACAAACACACAGACACACACACACACTCACACACACACAACACGATAACATCTTCTCAGGATAAATTCCTCTCCTCCTGCCTCTAAACACTTTCTTTTCAGCACTAGGGGTGTGTGTGTACTGGGTGTGTGTGTTTTCGGGGTAAAGGAGGAAGGATGTGGGTGGGTGAGCGGGCCCCTTGCATTTTCTGTTCCTGCTCTAAGCTCCGTCCTGCAGCATCTCTGGCTCCTTCCACTCCTCCTGTCACTCTCGCCACCGACTGTCCTCTCTAACCAATCAGCAGTCAGATCTTCTACAGATGCTCCACCCACAGACAGGTATGAAACCTCCCCATAGGTTAATACACTTACAATGAGTTGGAAGCAGTGCCTCTGTCTGTTTGTGAAATAAGTCATTAAAGTTGCTGTGTGTGTACTTTTCTGCAGTCATCTATCTATCTATATTTCTATCTATCTATCTATCTATCTATATTTCTATATATCCATCTATCTATCTATCTATCTATCTATCTATCTATCTATCTATCTATCTATCTATCTATCTATCTATCTATCTATCTATCTATCTATCTATCTATCTATCTATCTATCTATCCATCTATCTATCTATATTTCTATATATCTATCTATCTATATTTCTATCTATCTATCTATCTATCTATCTATCTATCTATCTATCTATATTTCTATCTATCTATATTTCTATCTATCTATCTATCTATCTATCTATATTTCTATATATCCATCTATCTATCTATCTATCTATCTATCTATCTATCTATCTATCTATCTATATATCCATCTATCTATCTATCTATCTATCTATCTATCTATATATCCATCTATCTATCTATCTATCTATCTATCTATCTATCTATCTATCTATCTATATTTCTATCTATCTATATTTCTATCTATCTATCTATATTTCTATATATCCATCTATCTATCTATCTATCTATCTATCTATCTATCTATCTATCTATCTATCTATCTATATATCCATCTATCTATCTGTCTATCTATCTATCTATCTATCTATCTATCTATCTATCTATCTATATTTCTATATATCTATCTATCTATCTATCTATCTATCTATCTATCTATCTATCTATCTATCTATCTATCTATCTATCTATCTATCTATCTATCTATCTATCTATCTATCTATATATCCATCTATCTATATATCCATCTATCTATCTATCTATATTTCTATCTATCTATATTTCTATCTCTATCTATCTATCTATCTATCTGTCTGTCTATCTATCTGTCTATCTATCCATCTATCTATATATCCATCTATCTATCTATCTATATTTCTATCTATCTATATTTCTATCTCTATCTATCTATCTATCTATCTATCTATCTATCTATATTTCTATCTATCTGTCTATCTATCTATCTATCTATCTATCTATCTATCTATCTATCTATCTATCTATCTATCTATCTATCTATCTATCTATCTATCTATCTATCTATCTATCTATCTGTCTATCTGTCTATCTGTCTATCTATCTATCTATATTTCTATATATCCGTCTATCTATCTGTCTGTCTGTCTATCTATATTTCTATCTATCTATCTATCTATATATCCATCTATCTATATATATATATATATATATATATATCTTTCTATATATCCATCTATCTATATATATATATATATATATATCTTTCTATATATCCATCCATCTATCTATATCTATATAGATATCTATATGTATAGATATCTATATATATATGTATAGATATCTATATGTATATATATATATATATATATATATCTATATGTATATATATATATATATATATATATATATATATATATCCTCTTTTCTGTCATTGTGTTGTATGTAAGGCTATATCTAATTTCCTCTATTCTGATTGGTTGATAGTTTAACAGGCCATACTGGATCATATCCAGAGAGAAACTGCTTTCAACTCATTATTGAAAATAATCAGTCGTATACATTTTCATCACTAAACACTTTTACATGCAGTATGCTTAGTTTTCTTTATTGATTATTATGTTTTATTATGTGCATTAAAAGTCAAACCAACGTTTTGTTTGCTCTTCACCTTTCACCAATTAGCAAACAGATTTTGGTGATAATTAGTCAAGGTACAGTGATTTATGAAGCCCTTTTGCTAACAAAGCACACTACAATGGCTAACAACTCAATTCCGGAAAAAAAGTCCCATGATATACTAACATGAAAAAGTGCCTAATGATGAAAATAATACGAGCTACTAAATTGATTTAATCATTAATGGTTTAAGCATATTTTGTTCTTATTTGTATTGGTTTCATTTCAGATGCTTATTTAACAGTGTTTGCATCTAGGCCTTAAACTTATTTTGTTTAGCATGTATTCTTTATATACCCTGCGGAGTATTCATTGTAAACTTTTAGTATTTCTAACACACAATGCATTGTGGTCAATGGGCCTGATACCCATGTTGAATTTCCTACCTCAAATAGAAATGTGCAAAGCTCATTTGAATGTGCATCACTTCCATCGTCCTGTTTTGTGTTATTTCCATTCAAGGGTACACTGCAGCCTTTATAATTCATTACCTTTAAAAAGTGTTGTTGCCTCTGCAGATGACATAAACCTCTGCTCACTGTGAGCAGGTTATGTCCTGAAGCACACGCTGCAGAATACCTAATGCACTCCGAAAAGAGAGCTTCCTCTTTAATGCATTGCTCAACAGTGCCCCTAGTGGTCAAAACCCCACAGGTTACCTTTAAGCTATCATTGAGTCATGGTACCATCCTACAGTTAAAGAACGCAGCAGCTTTGAAGCTAGAAGTGCATGGCTTTGTTTAACACAGCTGAAACGCCCAGCTTACTAATAATTGCTATTAATGATGCTTTGATACACACAAGCACTCACACACAAATAAACACTACACACGCAGCAGGAAATGCTGTGTCCACAGACATGAGGAACCCCTCAGTACTTCTGTTCTGCTTTCTCATTTTGTATTTACTCAGTTCCTCTTTGTGTTTCAATGGTGTGTATGCAGTATGGGTTCTTCATCTGTTTGCATGTGTTTTCTGAAAACATTTGCACAAATGTTGTCACTTGTCTGGTTTGTACTTTTAAGTGTGTATTTATGATCAATAGTCATACAGAAGAATGTTTTCTAAAGCCCAATTAACCCTTTCCTCTTCTGCAGAACCGCATGCACGAGTCTCTGAAGCTCTTTGATTCCATCTGCAACAACAAGTGGTTTAACGAAACCTCCATCATCCTCTTCCTCAACAAGAAGGATCTCTTTGAACGCAAGATCAGCAAGTCACCACTGTCCATCTGCTTCCCCGAGTACTCTGGTATATATCCATGCACCTCATAGGGATACTCAAATACTATACTGTATAGTGGTGTGGACACTAGGAGGCTCTGTGACATTTGAAGAGTACCAGATTTAGGAAAGACAACCAGTTCTCACTTTGAAACGTACATGTTTTAGGCCAAAGATGTACTAAGCAAAAATGTGTCAGTGCACATTTTCACTGTGATGCATCAGGGGTCTGGCCTTTATCGTATCAGCACGAGTTCTCTGCATATTTAACTCAAAACATTTCTTATGAGCCCTGTGAAAAAATCCTAGGGAGAAGAGAAATAGGTGAGTTTGGCGGCAAATACGCAAAGAGATCAATTATCCGTAAAAAAGGCAAATTTTCTCTGAGAAAATAGCCAAAGGGGTTGTTTGAAGAAGGATAAATGGATAGGAGGCATAAATAGACGTAATGGGAAACAGAAAATGTAAGGAAGCAGAAAAGAGACGATAGGCTCAGAGTCTGGAACAAAACAAAGAAGTCAAAAAGTAACTGAGTGAATGAAACCAGGCGTATTACCAGGTTTCCAAAGCAGAAAAGCTTGAGTGTGGTAGATGCAGGGGAAAATAAGATGATACGGGGGGGGGGGGGGGGGGGAAACAACAGAATGTAAGAGGGACTGAAAAAAGAAGAGTGTGAGGGGAAAGAGGAGAAAACAGACAAAGCAAGACTGTGGGAAAGCTACATTAGTGAGAGCACAGCCAGACTCTGAGAAAGACACCATTAGGATTCTAAACCGGTTTCCTCCTCTTCTTCTTCCACTCTCTTCATCCTTTTGACATGGCCAGACCTCGTGCCTATTCTGACAAACAAACACAGTTCTGCTACTGGCTGAGAGCCAAGTAGATGTTAGAGACACATTGATCAAATAAAGCTATAGATTAGATTTAAAACACCAAATGCAGATGTTGCCCTTCTGTAAAATGTATCGGTATACAGTATGAATAATGGCTCCACCCTTTTGGCTCTGGGAACTCATTCTCTGTCACAATGTGGCTGTTAAAAGACTATGATACATTGGAGATATTCTCAAAACAGGCACACTGCCAACAATACCGATACATGCATTTTTTCTAATCGCAATTCATTTGTCATCTTTCAATTTTTCATATTTATCAAAGTGTCTGCAGTCAGCAGTATGTGTGCTGAGCTAGAAAGTCCAAGGTTATGTTTTGATAAAAAACAAACAATACTGCTGATGCTGGTAATGTAGGGCCGCCCACTGATTTAAAAATACAGATGACAACAGCTTTGTAGCCTTCACCTGACTCCCACTATATGTCATCTCTGTCTCTTTGTCTCTCTCCCCAGGTCCAGACACTTACTTGGAGGGAATAGACTACATCAAGTGTCAGTATGAGAGCAAGAACAAGTCGCCCAGCAAAGAGGTGTATGCCCATGTGACCTGCGCTACAGACACCAACAACATCCAGTTTGTCTTTGATGCTGTCACTGATGTCATCATAGCTAATAACCTTCGGGGGTGTGGCTTGTACTAAATGTCAGCCAATTGATGCAGGATGCTTGTTTACCAGTTTGTACCACAGAGGATGGCCCTTATTTGTCATTTCATGATATGATAGGTAGTGCTTTCCCAAAAGGCTGGCTATTGGTCCAACTTGACTCTTAAACAATGAATTGGTTGATTGGTTGGTTGAGACTTCTTTAAATGTATTTGCCTTTTTTACCTAGAAAGGAACCAACTGCAGTAACTGTGCAGAACTCCTTCAGCCATTGCTACAGGGATACACCGTTCCCATCTGAGACTTGCTTGTACATACAGTAGTGCCTTACTCAAAGAACTAGATTGATTGCTAGTTAACTGCAGCCAACATTACAGGTTAACTAGCAGTGCAACCAGCTGTTATCATGAGAATCACTCCAATACCACAATGTACTGTATTTTCCATACATTTTCATTTAAAGGCCTTTGCATGGGACTTGTGCCTTAGTCACATGGAGGGCAGATGTAAAACTGTACTTAATCAGGTCAAGTTGAATTAAAACTCAGTCTATGTTTGAAAGATACTCTTAGGATTATTATTGAATGCGATATTTAACTCTGGACACGGGTATGTCCAGCCTACCAAGAAGAAATTCAAAGCAAGAACAACTGAATTTCTGTAGGTGTTGTGCAAAGTAGCTTGTGTTATTTGTTTTCTTTTGTTATTGGGATGAGATGCACGTTGTCTGGCTGTATTTGTTGCACTTAGCTGTGCACTGTTAACTACAGAGCTCCAAAATAATCAGTATTTGATCAGTCTGACATTAATCATCAAATTACTCAAAAAGATAGAACAGCATACATTGTAGAATTGTTAGATGAAGTCAAACTTAATTAATTATGTGAGGTGAATATGAAATTCACAATAAAACATGTTTCTTTTATATATTATAGCCTTTGCTGAGCCTGCTAACAGGCTTGGACCTGTCACTGAAAGACAAATACACTTTCAAAATAGAGAAATGTCCAAAATAAGAATGATAAAAACACATTATAATAACTTTAGTTAAAGGTGGGGTAGGTAATTTTGGAGAAACCAGCTTGAGTGCGCTAGAATTTGAAAATACACAACCGGAGAAAATCTGCCACTTCCTTATAGAGCCCCTCCTCCAACACACACAAACGCGCACATGACCAATGAGGGCACGAGATAAGTTTGTGCACAGATGGAAGGCTGACAGGCAGGTAGGCCATCCAGTTATTTTAGCCGGGCCGGCTCAGATGATTGGTCGTGCTTTTTACAGTACTACCGCTTCCACAGATGAAATATTTTTATGTATTTATTGTCAAAGCATTTAATGTATTCATTGCTATCGGGATGTTAAGAGCATTCCATGGAATATAACAAAAAGTGTTTCTGAAATAAATTACATACCCCACCTTTAATTAAAGTATTTCTAGATTTTTTTCAAATTGTTATTAGATTTTCTGTATTCTCTCATAGCCGTATGCATTTTATATAATCACAATAAGTCTAATTTCTTATTCATTGGTTTAATATTGTCCATCATGTAGTTCCTTATCAAACAGCTTGATGCCTTGCTTAGTGCCTCAACAAGTATAAAAAATGGATAACAGTGTCCATCTCGTCCTGTCCTTAGAGAAGCAAACATGCTCTTTTCAGCATCAATTCGTCAGCAGCAAAGCCTCACTCAAAACCTGTGGGAGGAGAGGGATTGTCAGAGTAGATCATTCGGAAAATGTATTATTAATCCACATATTAAACAAGGCTGTTGTCTGAATATGCCCGCTTTAATTCCAATTTGACTATAGTTGTTTTCATTGTTTTTCTGCAACCTCAATCTCATGCAATTAGAATAATTTCAAAGACGCTTCATATAAGTTTAGGATTTAAGAAATATGATAACACATTTGGAAAAAGCTAAAATATTGATTTTTTATATGTTGTAGAGATGTTTCATTTAGGCATAGACATTGTCTGTTGTGTCATTTGTTGAGCTATGCAGCATCAGTATTGGTTTGAGCAATGGTTGCTTCTCATTTTATTGAAAACTACCAAACAGAAGTTCATACAGCAGAACTGAAGGGTTTCTCCATGTCACAAAGGAATCGCGTCATTAGTGCCTTGGCCTTGAGTACATTTCAGTTTGGTGCCTATAGAAGATTGTAATGGAGATTGTATTATTAGTACTAGTTGTACTAAATAGAGCTGCATCATTTCTTTTCTTAAACCTCTACCTTCAATATTTAGTTTGTATTGGAAATTGTAGCGAGGAAGTTGCTCTTTCTTCGTCCCTCCTTTTTCCTCCCAGTGGACGTCACCTCTAGTCGTATGTAAGGATTGATTTCCCCAAGCCCTCATAGCGTATAAGGGACTTGTATAAAATCACTTTAAATGAAGCGCTACCAGAAGAGATGTTCTGACTCAACCATTCTCAGATAATGCTTCAAAGGAAGCATTGATTTGAAGGGCCCTGGGGCCACATCCATTGTATGGCGCTGCACAGTGCATTATCACAATTGTCCACCTCTCTCTCTTAAGGTGAGCTTTGAGAGAGAGGTGTGCTGGTGAGTACATTTCATCCTCTGGGACTTGAATGTCGACCTTGTGACTATTGTTTTAACCCCAATTTGTGCTCGATAGCAGTAAGTAAAGTTGTCCCAAAGCTGCTGTAGGGTTGAACTGTGGTTTAGATACCATGAAAAGTGTTGTGTGCAATGTGTGGGAACTGTCCAAGTGTGAGCATTGACATTAAAGCCAAAGAGATACATTAAATACCAGGTAAATATCATGAGCGCCTTCCTCATCTCTTTATAAGCAACAGTTTACATATACTGTAGGGACTGAGCTTAGTTTGTCCTCAGGACTTTGTTGTATAGACTGAGCTGAGTGTGTTTACAGCTTTGCTGTTATGAGTGCTCTCTGCTTCTTTCATTATTTATGAGCAGGGCATTTGTTTCATACCACTTTTCCCCCCACACTGATACAGCAAGGCAATTTATTTTTCAACGTAGATTACGTCACCGACCCTTCCTACCACATCTGTGCCAACAATTAGAGATCCACAAACTGTTGATCAGCGTGCTTTGTGTGTGTGTTTCTGTCCGTGTTTCTCTCCATGTTCCTTGTATGTATAAGTGTGTGTTTACCGACTAAGTTCAGTTTAAGTGTGTGTGTGTGTGTGTGTGTGTGTGTGTGTGTGTGTGTGTGTGTGTGTGTGTGTGTGTGTGTGTGTGTGTGTGTGTGTGTGTGTGTGTGTGTGTGTGTGTGTGTGTGTGTGTGTGTGTGTGTGTGTGTGTGTGTGTGTGTGTGTGGTGTGTGTGTGTGTGTGTGTGTGTGTGTGTGTGTGTGTGTGTGTGTGTGTGTGTGTGTGTGTGTGTGTGTGTGTGTGTGTGTGTGTGTGTGTGTGTGTGTGTGTGTGTGTGTGTGTGTGTGTGTGTGTGTGTGTGTGTGTGTGTGTGTGTGTGTGTGTGTGTGTGTGTGTGTGTGTGTGTGTGTGTGTGTGGTGGAGACAGTATATGTGGATTGATTACCCAGAAGGCACCGGTCTACCCTTTCCACACATAGGCTCTCAACACACGCATATACACTGAAGGCACTAGCACACCCAGGGGACTTATAAATGCAAAAAAAGACCCCCATATCCAACCAGAAAGCCTCGGATGTTTTTTGGTTCTTATGCAAAACATAAAGCCGGCCGCTGCTGCAGGCTTTTTACTTTGTAATCTTCTCTTCTGAAATGAATTATATGAGAAATCATCTTTGTGCAGAAATCACATCATAATGGTTTGTCCCGTAAAGATGTACAAATAAGATCATCTAAAAGCAGTCTCTGAATGCACTTCTTCACTTCGCTTTCCACTAATGGGAATGTCCATACTGTAGAAGAATATTTCCCATTGACATGCTGAGCCTTTCTGCTTTCATTTCAAGGGTATTTTGAATGCAGTATACTGAAAAGAAAAAACAAACTGTTGTCACTATTTTAACGTTTGCACTATAGTAGAACCTGAACCAATAGAACCACTAAATTACATTAAACAAATTATCCGTCCCAAATGCCCTGCTACTGAATCATTTTGTCGATCATCATCCTCACTTAATGCAGGGCAGGTTACGGTGTGGAAAGCTTTTATTTTTCTACATTCATGTACTTATTTTTCTGCCTGAAAGAGCAGCCAGCAGTCGACATGAGCTGTGGAACAATGGGCTGGTTAATTTTGTATCCACAGTAGGTTAGCAAGCTCCAATTCACATGCAGCTGAAAGGATATGCCTACATTTGTTTTTTTCCCTCGGGGTAGCAATGGCTGCGTACTGTTGGAGCTTTGTCTCCTCTAGCTTCTCTCATGCCTGTGTTAACCTCAGGCAGCGCAGAGAACAGGACGAATCCACGTTTCTGCTCCACGGATTATTCAGTAGCAAATTAGATGCATTTTAAATAGATTTTAAAGGAGCATTACTATTTCTTGCATACTTTAAATAATGTCTATGAATCACAACAGCATACCTTATTAAATTGAGTAGCTTTTTGGGTAGAACTTCAGAATGTGTACACTATTAAAGTCACCTAATAAACAATTAAGAAGTGATTAAAAAAATATATATATATGTTTTTATTCAAATGACTTAACTCAGCCCCTGTGAGATCCTCCCCTAATTGTGGCAATTTCAATTGGAATTTCTTGATTTTTTTTATTATAATAGTTGGTTTACTGGACCAAAAAACGCCCACTTATTAGTCCTCCACGTGCCAACCTTCAAATCAAATCAAATCAGGTTTTATTTATATAGCACATTTAAAAGCGATTTTTGGTCGAGCCAAAGTGCTGTACATGTAACCTTAACACCTAAACCTCTCAAATGAATCCTAACAAGTGAAATATAACATCAGAGCGAGCCAGAGAGGATCGAGGATAACGTAGTTTATGTCCCCGCCAATCCCAGCCATAAATCATACTCTCCTACTGTATAAGCTGCAGCGAAAGAGAGATTTGTAGGTATTGTGGTCTGAAGTCAGGCTCGTCGGTGTACGGGTAACTGTAACATAACACAATCAGTGGTCTATTCATGTAACAAAGGTCCTTATGTATCTGGACAGCAGGTGGTGGCACAAAAGAAGAGTCAGCACCATGTGCCAATTCAATGCCTCTGCAATATAAACCATTTCTGAAATCCAAAGCCAAACCGTCTTGACTGAATTTTGGAGATTCGAATGAGCTCCCTTTTTGCTTACTTATTTATGCTTCAAATGTACAAGTAGAGTTTTGCCTGTAAATGCTTCCGAGTCGTTGTTTGTTATGTTTAGTTGCCACTCTACATAATGAGCACTTAAGCCTCCGCACAGCCAGGGAGATCCTGCTCTGGACTGGGAGAGCATTGAGAAAGCTGCAGGGCGCGTGGCCGTAATGAACCTGTGTCGAATAAAGGAGTCCGAGTATGAGCTGCTGAAAGTCCTCGCGTTTAGCTTCCCTTACTGCCGTCGCTTTTCTAACCTTCAGCCCTCCACTACCCACTTTATTTAACCCCTCTGTCCATACCAACCAATATATACTGTACAGGTCATACAGCAACATCTACAAGCTTGTTTATTGTGCGTGTGTGTATGTAAGTGTGTGGGTGGGGTATTGTATTGAGCACTGTAAGTAAAATATATCTGCTGTATCTCGCTCACTGCTGTGATAATTTATTGAACGTTGTATTTTTACATAAGACAAATGACAATAAAGCACCACATAAGTATCTTGATATTGTGTGTGATTATTTTCCTGACCTAATGATTGTGTGTGTGCATATTTTTCATTTAATGCTAGGTTGCACTGTTTCTTGTTGGTGTTAGTGAGACAAATGAATCACCCCACATGTGGTAGCTTTGTCTGTAAAGTTG